CTGGAGCAGGCTTAAAATGATTACAGTTCGCTGTTTCTCTTATTTTATTTTCTGTCATTAGTTTGTCACATTGTATAGGAAGGTGTGCAGAATATTGAACCCACAATGAGAGAAACTACACCTGAGATAATAATGATTACTTAGACTCAGACCTGTCTGTCCAGAGAGTATTGTCACCAACATTGTTGGGTTACTGACAGTAAACGAAGAGCCTGTGGCTGATCATCTAAGTACAGAAACCTGCCTTTGTGCCGTCTAGGGTCTAGGAAGAAACAGGACAGAGAAATGATGCTTAATGGAGTTCATTGCCTCATGAGTTCATGGATAACACAATGAGCTATTTGAGTTTTCTGGGAAAGATGGGAACAAATATCCTTTGACCTCAGTAGGGAACAATTGACAGATCAGTGTAGCCATTCCTCCAAAGTCCACCTCAGAGAGACATGAGTTTATGAAGTTACCACAGGAATGTGTTTGACAGGTTATTGCAGGAGCATAAATGACTCAAAGGCAACTGCAGCATCAAAACCCCACACCTGAACTCCCAAATTTGGTATCCTAAAAATATAATTTTTATATTGCCCCTATGAATATTTTGCATGAATGTATGTATGCATGTCACATGTATGCCTGATGCCCATGTAAGTAAAAACAAGGCATTGGATTCTCAGGTAGTGGAATTATAAACTGTTATTAGCTGTCATTTGGGGGCTAGGAAACCAACCTGAATAATCTGAAAGAGCAGAAAATGCTACCTGCTGAGCCATCTCCCCAGTCCAAAAACTGCACCTGGGAAGCTCTGCACAGTTTTCAGTCTGAGGGACATAAAAGGTCAGAGAGTCTTGTCGTGGGGGCTCTGCTGGTGGCCTGTCCTCCCACTCTGAGTAACCTCACTGTTCACTTCTTAATTAATGTTGAGGCAGATTCATGTACACCGTGAACTGCAGGTTACTCAAACTGATGATGTGTGTTTACTTCTAAGTCTGGAGAGTCCTTCAGCAGCATTCAACCTCATGTTATTAAGTTTTATTACATATTAACTCTGAGACTGAGACCATCAAGTAATAACCAAAAAGTTTATAGTAAGATGGTATATGAAGGGGATTATTTCCCTGAATTTTTATGTTATATTCTGCCCACCTCTCCCCTCACTGGATAAATTCTGGTAATTCTCAATATTTGCATCCAAGTATATAGATGATAGATCGATAGATAGATAGATAGATAGATACATAGATACATAGATACATAGATACATAGATGATAGATGTGTGTATATACTCATATAAAATATTGCATCAATAATATACATAAGTTAGTATGTATATGTATATATGTATGTTTTCTATAATGTGGGAATATATATATGTATGTATGTATATGTATGAATATGAATATTTATATGTATGATTAACAAACTCAAGAGCTGATTTTCTCCTCCATGTTTTAGGTATGGAACCTCTTCTCATGGATTTTTTAAGAAGCTAGGGATTCCTGGACCCAAACCTCTGCCTTTTGTTGGGACGATGCTTAACTATAGGAGGGTGAGTGCTGTTGGGTTCCCTACTTTGCTTCTTGTAACTGTGTTACTTATACAAATATCATTAAACCCCATGTCAGTTCATCCATTCAAATGGACATTGGGACTAATTGTAAGGCTTTTCATAATCGCATGACTTATGCCAAGGAAGTTTATTAATCACCATAGCTTCTTACATACTATTTGCAGGGGGAATTGGCCAAAGGTGAGCTGAGAGTTAAGTCAGAAAATTTTGGCAAAGAGAATCCAGGATGCCTCAAACACTGCTGCCTCATAACTGATTACCACAATCCAGGGAAAAGAGTAGAATTGCCAGAAACTGCAACCAAAATTTCCTAGAGGCTCTGGCTCTAGACCCAGAGAGGAGCTTTGCAAATCTGTTCCTGGAATGCCACAGAAATGTCATGCCTTTTGACCTTTGGCAAAGGTGTCTGAGAGAACTTTGGATTAGTCCTCAACAAAGAGTACCTCCTTTTCACTTTTTACTTTTCATGGCCATATGTGTTATTTGTGTTTAAATGTGTAAGAGCCCCAGATAACCTTTAAACAAGCAAATGCTTTCTAATGTTATTGAACAAATTACCAACACTAAATAATCTGAGGATAATAGTGAACAAATGTTTACCAATGTTAAGGAAATTACATCTGGCAGTTTGTGTAATAAATCTTTGGCTGGCTCCAAAGGGAATTGAATGTATGATGAGCATGGCACATGTCAGTAACTATTTGATTGATGGTTAGGAAATCTAAAATAACATTCTAATGTGGCCATATTCCCTGCAAATATTTTTAATTCTCTTCCATTTCCATTCATGTTCATCATAACTTAAAGGAACATTATGGATGTATCTAAAGCCAGCATGATACTGTAAAAGTGATTAACATTGCATTGTTTGTACTATATCTCTTAGGCTCAATATCCAAACTTTTAAAGCATTTAATTAGGTTCTAGTTCTTGTGTTCATTTTTATGTTTATTCACCAAAGCTCCAGAAGTATTATAAGGAATCTGATTAACAAAATGGGCAGTTACACTAGTTGGGTGATGGCCAATGTGGAAGCAGCCTCTGACTTGAGAACTGTAAGTACTGCAAAAAATAGTTAAAATAAAATCTAGACTTTTTTTTTTAGCACAAACCTGATGTAGTTCAATAAGAACACATTGTGCAAAGTCACCATACTTAAAGCATCATTACGAACCACAGCAAAGGAAGACAGTTAAAGTAAAAGAAGGCTCCCATGAGCAAAGGCATCTACACAGTTAGTGAGGATGGAAGTAACACATGTAATTTTGAAGTGATCACCCTTTCTTTAACAGAGGGACTCTCAGTCTGTTACGTGTATTGAGGGTTAAGACAAGCAGTGAGGTCAAATATAAAATGATATGCATTTTCTCTAAAAATTCTGTAGGTCACCCCATTATCTAGGACAGTGGTTCACAGCCTAATGTCTTGTTCATCTGAAGATAGTGTAAATAAACAGTGGCCAATGAGAGGATTCTAGGAAGTTATCTTCATCCAGACCAGGTGAGCACCACTAAGACAAGTCAACCAGCTCCTCAGATCATCCATTCAGAGGCGAGAGGTTCTTTAGAATCATGGAACAAGCCACTCAATTGGAATTCCATTCTGAATCAGGGCACAGGAAAATCACTGCATTCTTGGAAATGTCCATCCAAAGGGGTAACTTATGGGTGATCAGAACGAGGAATAATTTGATGATGTATGATTTTTGATCCCACGTGGACCCTTGGCTATGGGCTTTGCCACTCATTCACATGAGAAGAACATGGTCATACTGTCCCATCAATAACAAACAAATAGGAATAATTTGTGATATAACAATATAGTTAAAGTGAGTAGTGCCAGGCACCACAGGTGAAACATCAGATTGTAAAATAACTAGCACACCATTAGTAAATTCTCTAGAAGGCAGGTCTTCCCATGTGACTGGATGGGCCAAAGGGAGTGTAATCCATACAGGCCCAGAAGACTTCTGCACTTTCTACATGTTTGGCAGGGAGTAATGCCCAAATTGCTAAAATAAATTGAATGTGAATAACAGGCTTCCATGTCTCCTTGACCACTCATATTCACTCTACAGTGAGATGTTTAATCTGTCCCCAAGTTGTGAGTGGGCCCTGTAATACCAGGTGGACTGCAAGGGTGAACTGGACTGCATGCTGCCTTCAAAGTCATCATCCTCTGCATCCTTACCTTCTGTCCCCTGTACTACAGCAGATGTCTTCATACCATGGGAATGCAGGATAAGGTACTTTGGGACCCAATATGATCTCTCAGCTTCCCGTGGGAAAATACAAGCATCCTCTCCTCTACCTGAACACAAGGTCAGGATCACACCATTCGCATATAGCAGGGACTTTGTAAAAAGGTCTCCTTCTTAAGCATGTCTACCCATAAATGACCTGCTCCAGTTAATCCTTTTTGTTCTGTTCTCAAAAAATAATTAAAAAGTACAATTTAGAAGATTTGTAGAAGTAAGAAGGTATATGCACTCCCACTTTTTATTTTTTCAACCAAAACTTTAATAGAACCATGTACAATTTCTCATCTTTGAGGAATACAAGAGAGGCCAGTTTTATGTATAATACATAATGTAGCACAAAATTCCTTTAAAAAGCCCGGCGGTGGTGGTTTACACCTTGGGAGGCAGAGTCAGGCGGATCTTTGTGAGTTTGAGGACAGCCTCATCTACAGAGCGAGATCCAGGAAAGGTGCAAAGTACCCAAAGATACCCTGTCTTGGAAAAAAAATTCCTTAACAGCATCAGATGTGTATGCTAGAGCATTAATTTTTTTTTAACACTTTGGAAGGGTGAGCTATAAAAAATGATTATCAGCAATGAGTAATCCAATGCTTACCAGATTTTCCAGTTAATAGGATAGACATGAGGAGGAACCCAGAATAAATGTCATACTAACATAAATGTATTTGAGGCTGCCAAAAAATTGAAATGCCTGTAACATCCATATGTCATAAGGTAGTAAGCATTGGAGATTTACATCATAACAAGGAGAAGGCAGACAGGTTACACAAGCAGAAAGGTTACAATTTGTCATACTTGATCTCTAGATAACTGTAAATGGGGCTGAGGCATAGCACAGTGCTGATGGTGAATTGCATGAGTCAATAGCTTCCTTAAACCAAGCAGTCTCAGCAATCATCTGAATAAAATAATGCAAACCTGGATCTACAGCTTGATTCCCATTTTCCAAATGACCAGGAAGACTGTAGTGTGCTTGAAAGTATTGTAGAAATTAAGGAACCTCCTGGTTCTGACAGTTGTTTGGCATGCTGAAAAAAGTGAAACATTTCTTCATCCTCAGTCTGCTCAAAAAGAGCACCAGGAAGTATTTGAGAATCATATATGGCATATGAACTGTCAGAGTAAGTGTTTAGAGGTTGAGGCAATGCAAAAGAAATCTACATTCTGGGAAGACATAGTTGAAACATTCAATGTATGAGGAGTTACTTCTTGAAGTATAACATTGAGCATCCCAGATGGACTCTCACCAAGGAACACATAGCTATTTCTGGGATTGTGTACATAATTCAAAGTGTTGGGATAACTAGAGAGTAGTGTTGGAAAATTAGAATTAAAGGATCTTCAGGATATGAAGTACAAAGCTGGCCCATAAGGTCAAATAGAGCTACCTCTCAAGAGTCACTGAAGGCACAAAGTGAATCATGTTGTGAAGGGGAGAACTATCTTGTCAATTTATCATGCAATAAATTGATGGGCTTGAGGACACCTATTTTCTGAATAATCTGAGCAAGGATTTTATAATAAGAAGTCAAGATTCAGCCATCATCAGTGGGCAGAAAAATCCAATCTATAGGTCCCCTAAGTTGCAAGAGTGTTCCAGAGGGATATGTAGGAGTATCTAACAGTACAGGAGATAAAAGAAGATTTGTGCCAATACTGGTCAACTGTGCATGAGTGATGATTAGATGTGTTAATTGTAAGGTGTTTGACTCTCACGAATAAGCTTTCTAGAAGAGGGGTCATTATCTCCTCTTAATATGGAGAAATAGAGAGTCAAATCATTTGTAGTATGTTTCAGGGAAGGTCTCAGCCAAATAGTATCTCCTAGCATATTTTTAAAATCAATAAATGTTAGCAGTTACATCCAGATCATTGTGGGAAAATGGTATGTTCTTTTATAATATGACATAAATAAGAAAAGGGACCTATAATCTGTGATTTTTCTGAGATTTCCAGCTGAGTCTGTTATAAGTGATGCTGGACTGTGATAAATAAATGAGCAATTACATTTTCAGTAGTTGCTGGAATCACCTAGGCAATAAATCAACTAGGTAATAAATAATCATGAGAGAAGAGTACCTTTTTTCTAACTGGGAGTAAAGTTTGAGCAATAAATTGTTGACACAAGTTGGGGCTACTAGCCATACCATGTAGTAGCATCTTCCATTGAACTTTCTTCGTGAGTTTCTAAAAATTAGAGAAAGGAAGGCTAAAAGCAAAATGAGGAGGATCCTTAGGAAATGGGCTTTTGACTCACTTAAACAAGTAGGAGCCAATTCGGGTGATTTTATAACTGCACAAAAAAAGAAGTTCCTTCTTATCCTCTGAGGTATCATAAAGTGAAAGTAATCCAAGAAATTAAGCAACCTCTGGGTCCTAAGCTCCCTTTACCTCTATTTTTTGACATCTTATTTTTATCTCACATCGCCCAGTTAGATTTGAGTATATTGGCTAGATCTACAGGAGTGCTGAATTACAAATGAATCATACTCAAACATTCGCTATAAACAATCATGTATAAAATTCGACAGCACAAACCCAAAATAGGAAACTTATGAGGCCCTCATTGGTGATATTCCGTCTTTAAACTTCCACATACGTGTTTCTGTAGCTGGAGTTTTCTCCAGTCCTGCTCAGGCTTGCAGCTGCTCAGACCCAAGTAAACATATAGACACTTACATTACTAATGAACTGTATGGCCACGGCAGGCTTCTTGTTATCTAGTTATTATATCTTAAATTACTCCATTTCTATTAATCTATAAGTTGCTATGTGGCTTGTGGCTTACTGGTAGGTACTTTTATATAGTGCTTCCTCTGTGTCTGGTTGGCCATTCCCGAGTCAGCCTTCCTGTTCCCTGAATTCTCCTCTCTCTTTGTCCCACCTATACTTCCTGCCTGGATACTAGGCAATTGGCACTTTATTTATTAACCAATCAGAGCAACACATTCACAGCATACAGGGCAATATCCTCAGCAATTCCCCTTTTACACTGTATGGTAGATTGAGCCTTTGCTATTACAGACAAAAATAAAAGTTTTCTGGGCTACATGCTGCTTTGATACAAACATAGACCCACTGCTTCTGAGACTTGATAGTACACATGGTTTTCCAGACCAAGAGCTGGTGGTAAATGTCCCACTGCCATGTAGGAAAGCTGAGGTGGGTGGAGTCAACAGCCACAGCTGCCATGTCAGTCTTAGTAATACTACACTCTAAAGCAAGTGGTTCACAGTAAGACAGATCCAGATGGAATGGTTTTCAATGTCTGTAAAATGTACATAGGCTTGGAAGAGAAAAAAGTAATGCATGCAGTTATATAAAAAAATAGAAAGTTTTTTTTTTTTTTTGGTTTTTCGAGACAGGGTTTCTCCATGTAGCTTTGCACCTTTCCTGTAACTCATTCTGTAGTGCAGGCTGGCCTCCAACTCACTGAGATCTGCCTGCCTCTGCCTCCCAAATGCTGGGATTAAAGGCATATGCCACCACCACCCAGCTAAAACACAGATCGTTTTTAAAACTAAAGTCTTTTACAAAAAATAACAGTATTATAAAAATAAGCCAAATAAAGATGAAAATCACACAGAGAATATGGATTGTGTTGTCTCTGGTATTTTTAACTGCAAAAAGACATTTGATTGTAAAGGCTGCACAGTTAAACCTCTATGTTTTAAAGGTACCTTGACGTCAAAATTTGCATGTAAGGATATGTTGCTTTGAAAGGGAGGCTCTGCTTTCGTTTCCACAGAAAGCAAGAAGCTATGGGTTTGTTCCAGATTAAGTTACATCAGGTTTGACCAGCCAAGACCCCGTGAAGTTCTCTGATGACACCATGGCCCAGATGATCCAACATCCAGAATGGTTTCAAGGCAACTGGCTCAGACAATATACCCTCATGGACTACTCCATAATCCTAAAATTTTCTTTATTTTCCCATAAGATACAGTGCCCTCCTCCAGCAAGAAGTAGTATGAGAAGCTACACCTAAATCCCCAAATATGCCAAGCTGGCTTTGGAGATGGAATTGGCTCACTCCTTCTCTAAACTCAAACATATTGCTAAAAAAAAAAGGTGGGGAGATTCTTCTGTCCCATACCAGAAGAGCCCTCTGTATGACACAGAGAAAAAAACAATATTTTATTTTAAAGCAGGTTGATTATAACAGTGATCTCTTTCTGAAGAAGAAAAGGAGATAGAATAGATATGATAGGATGAAAGGTTAGATTAATGAACTTACTTTTAAAGAGCAACACTTTGTTTAGGAATGTTTTACATTGCTATGGACTTTAGTTTATTTTTTATTTTTTTTAATTTTATTTTATTTTTTATTTTACAATACTATTCAGTTCTACATAATGGCCACAGATTCCCTTGTTCTCTCCCTTCCTGCCCCCCTCCCTTTCCC